AAATCAAGAAATATTTTACCAATCAACTATTTACTTTATGCAGAACCAGTACTGAATGTATTGTCAAAGGGTTCATTTGCACTTTAATGGTGTTGGCAGAACTTTTCCAAGGCTTTCGATACATGCAGTTTTCTTTAAATCAGTTATCCAAAAAAAAGCATAACTTAGATTTCTCCAAGAATTTCCTGAAGTGGATTCTCAGTTATTTAACAAATCGATCGCAGTTTGTTCAAGTGGATGACAAAACGTCAACAAAAGTTACCATGGAATTTGGCTTTCTGCAAGGTTCTATACTTGGCCCAATGTATTCAACTTATACGTAGCGGACCTTCAGGATAACTTTGATCACCGAACAACTTGTTATCAATATGCAGATGATACCACCATCTATAAACACTGTAAGTATGATGATCTACAACAATGTGAAGCAGAAATGAACGCTACCTTAAATCAACTTACAGACTGATCTAGTGATTCGAACCTAGCTCTTAATGCGGACAAGACAAAGTGCATGATCTTTTCAACCCAACAGTTGTCGAAAACACACTCCATGGCTTCATACAAGACCAACTTTATGGTGAATAATAAACAGTTGGAACGTATGCAAACAACAAAATTTCTTGGCTTGTACATTAATGAAAATCTAACTTGGAAAGATGACATAAAMTCCCTGTCTTCTGCGTGCTACAGTAGTCTGGCCGTTCTCAAGAAAATAAAGAACTTCACCCCTTACAATCTTAGAAAGCAGCTGGCTGAACAACTTGTACTGTCGAAGATGGACTACGGTGATCTGGTTTTTAATCCATTACCAGACTACCTTCTAAAAGGTTACAAAAAAATCAGTTATCGTCTGCGAGTTTTGTCACCGGAAAATACGTAAACTCTGTGGAATCAGTCCTATATAAAGCTTGGTTGGTTACCAATGCGTGAACGCAGAGATTACAACTTACAACTCAGAGCACTTCCTTGCACTGGAAGTTTAAGCTCGTAAACCATAAAGAACTTTACGCCAAAGTTCCACCTTGAATCTAGCCAGACCTCTGGAAGAGAACTTTTCAAGACATCGCCTCAGAACTATTCAATAATTTACCCAATAATATAAAAGACATTTCTAGTCACAGTCTATTTTGTTCAAAGGTGAAAGCAAAGCTAAAGAAAGGATATGACATTACTTGATTTATTTATCAATTAATTTATCTTTCATCTAATTGGTGGATGTTGGAGTTGCGCTTCGGTGCCTTTGGGTGATTGTTTTGTGTCTTGCCATGGGGGTAAGTTTCTTTTGTCTGCTGCCCCGGATGTCTCGGCCTGAGGCAGTTGCTTGGGGGCGGTGGAGATTACCYCCAATATCTGCAATTTTATACTTTTCTTTCATATATAATCATAACATCGCTTTAGAATTAATCAATAAGAAATTTCCAATAATTTTCAATCTTATTTCTTATCTTTGTCTAAAATTTGTCTATTTTATAGCGGAGCTCCCGCTCGAGCGGAGCACCATACATAAGAAAAAATGGTAAACCATCGAATTGATTTTTCATGGCTTCGCTGACGTCACTTCCGTCCGTACGTACGGGCATCCGTGTACACAAGATTCCCGATTGGCTGGTTAGATTATCTTTTTATTTTGGCGGGAATGTCGACGCGTTGCAACATCCGGGTACACATAAAGGTTAATTCGGCTATTAAACTTTTGTAAAAAACGTTTTTACACCTGTTATTACGTATAGAAATACCGAAAGATAACAACACAATTTTTTATTCAAGCTTATATTTATATTTATATTTACTCTATTTACGATGGAACCCCTTTCCGAAATCGATGTGTCGAAAGATAGCTCAGAAGAGAATGAAGCCAAAAGAAAGCCAGAAGTAAAGAGTTTTTTTGGAAGAGGAAAAGCTCTGGAGGCGTGAAAAAGAAAGGCAAAGACGAAGGAATCTCACCGAAGGAAAGCGACAAGCAGAGAGAGAGAGAGAGAGAGAGAGAAAACGCAAATCCAGGCGGGACTTCGATTATGAACAAGGAGATCATGATCGTGAAAGAAAAAGGAATATGAGGCAAAACTTGACGGATGAACAAAGAGAAAATGAACAACGTGAAAGACAAAGGAATTTGAGGCAAAACCTCACGGATGAACAAAGAGAAAATGAGCGTGAAAGACAAATGACAAATGCACAGAAAAAATCGCTTTAGGGCAAGTTATAGTCCAAAGAAAATTTAAAATCTCGTGTGTATGTTACTGTATATTATATAATTTATCAATAGGTGAAGAGCCACCTCGTGGATTCTATTGATTAAACCATTCTTCTTTTTCTTCTTCTTCTTCTTCTTCTTCTTCTTCTTCTTTTTCTTCTTTTTCTTCTTCTTCTTCTTCTTCTTTTTCTTCTTTTTCTTCTTCTTATTATTATCACTCTAAATTTCGGCTACATTGGCGTCAAGGTTAAAGTCATTCAAGAATTCATTGTCCTTATAGAAGGTGTTCTTGTCCCCCTGACACACGTGTACTGACTTAATTATTTCAAAAGATAATCTAGTTCTAATCCATGTTAGCATAAACTTACTAGCATACTATCACGAAYCCTGCAATCTGATTGGTTAACGTACTTACTCATCCTGTATCGAAAAAGATATAAACAAGTGCCTGGTCAAGTTTCGTCGAAATCTCTGCTTGTTCTCTAAAAAAAAAATCTTTAAAAATCGATTGTAGAACAGACAAGACTTTATCAAGGAAACGATTTGAGGTTTTGAAAGGTACAGATAAGTAAAAGCTGAAGAATTATGGCAATTTTGACACGAAAAAGCGGCCGTCAGATTTCACTGAGATTTTCATGTGCAAACTTTACGACGGACAAACAACTGACTACTTAGATAATGATGGGATTTTAAGATAATTCCCTCATGGAACAGAAAAAATCCAAAAGACAACTTATTCACATGTATTCAAGATGAATTTTAAACGGGAAGAACAGGCGAAACGATGAAGAAAGTGCAAGCTAACTGACAAGTTAACTGAATCTTATATTAAGCAAAATGTAAACATGGCACGGCTTTGAATGATGTCACAAACAACAAAGTATTTGTAAATAATTTCAGTTTATCACTCATTAATTAGAAAAAATGACCCAAAAATGACCCAAAAACTGATAAGATAAAAAAAAAAACAGAGAGAAAGAGAGTTTTGACAGTAATAATAGAGACAAAAAGCTATAAAAATAGAGCAAGTTTAAGCTTTACGTTAATACTTCGAGACGAGTTCGCAAGTATAAATGAAAACAGTGTGCCGGTTGACCTTCGCTTTGTACAGTAAAGTTTTCAATGTCACTCGTTCTCGTTTTCTATGAGTCAAATAGTCGATTCGGCGCTACGCGCCTCGTCGACTATCTATTGACTCATAGAAAACTCGACCTCGTAGTCTAATTCAATATAAACCATGTAATACAGTCCGTGAATAGTTGAATTAACTGAATCCACTTCTGTTTTTTGCCTAGATAGTCATTATTTTGAGAAAAGATCCAAAAACCGTGCTTTTGAGACATAATTTGTATGGGCTTACATGAGGGGGCGTGAGCTTGAAATCGTAGCTGACCAAATGTTAACAGATCTTTTCTGGTATAGTCATATTATACTTTATTTACTGTAGCTATGGCTTTTGTATCATATTTTTACTATTTTTACTATTTTGATATGCTAATTAATTTTCTACATAAGGGATTTTATCGATTTATATATATATTGTAATTAATGCATAGTACTTAAGGGATACAGGTTTGTTAGTATTTTTATGCTATTATGTGCCACCCTCGTTAAATAAAGTAGTTATTATTATTATCATCATCATTATTATTATTATTATTTACGCCCTTAGTTTTCGGTACAAATGGAGGGATGGGGGCAGAATGCCAGATTTTTCTAAAGCGCCTTGCTGAGAAGTTAATCAAGAAGACAGGGGACACGTACGCAAGTGCTATAATTAACAATTCTATTGAAAAAAACCACCGTACTTTTTGAGTTGAATGTACGCTATTGGATGTATTTTACAAGAAAAAATGCATGACATAACCGGGGTCAAGCTAGAAAATCGTGTCTCCTTGAAATAAAACAGGACCTGTCAAAAAAAAGAAAAAAGAAAAAAAAAAAGGAAAGAAAACAGAAGTGGATTTGAAAATCCCGKCCTTTCCTGAACATATTAGTATATAATTCATAGGAATTTGTCCAAATTTAGAACAGTATTTTTGCTGATTTTATAAGCTCATACTATCTGTTGGCCTATACGTTCGCCTCTTATGGTTTCTTAGGTTTCGTAGCCTCAAAAACACGCTAACTACTAGTTAGCGAAAGAACAGAAGATTTACGGGTCATTTAGGATGTTTTGTCACGCAGTTTTCTTGTTCTATATAACTTTACTTTTAAGAACAACCTTTTGCTTTGGAAAGAGAGGAAAAAGACCGAAAAGAGCAAATATTCCAAATGTATGGGCAATTTTTTCCAATGACGAAAATAGTTCCCACATCGACATCGATTACTCTTTGCTGGTACTTTCTATTTTTTCGCTTTCTTGATCTCTGTAGATTGTAGAATTTGATTTATTTTTTGGTTGCGCTTGGAACTAACATGCGATAATCTTACATCAAAATAATAATAATAATAATAATGTGTGGTAATTCCCTGGAGAACGTGCAACATATATCGAGTTGCATTGCATTAGAAACGAAGTACAGTCAACTGAGATTAGAGTTAACAAACAGATACCCCGAGTACAAGATCAACCAGTACAACATCATCATGGACGTTCTTGGAGGCTGTTCAAAAGAGGTAAAGCAAAATATCAAAGAACTTGTAGGGGACAAGTATGCGTCAAATGCAGAAGGCAAGCCTTACTAGCTCGCTACACATTGCTAGAACATTCAACCTGAGCAGTTAAATTATTTAAGAACTTTGGATACGTACAGTAATTATCATAGACTCTGTTATGATATTATATTGGACATTCATATGCACAATGGACTTTTCCTTTAGAAATTTTTATTTGAATTTATAATTTGTTTTCTTTTTTTTAAATTTTGGTCTGTATTTTTTTACTTTTTTTCTAGCTTTCATCGTCATTCCTTTTCAACTGTAACTCAGTACCATTGTTAGATTTTAATTCGATGCTGTGGTTGGTTACGGTATCCGTCAAGCCAAAGCTTTATTTTTCACTGGGCATCCAGACGTTTACACTGCCTCATAATAATAATAATAATAGTAATAATAATAATAATAATTTTTTTTAAAATTTTTTAATAAATTAATAAACTTTATTGACAATAATAATTCTTCATAATACTTCTACAATAATTTCTCACTAAGAAAAAAAAAATTGTATTTGGTATCTATATAGATATATATACGACGTATAGATTATCTCTTCATATATCCTACAATAAAAAATATATCTATTTACAATAAATAAAAAAATAAAAAAGAGAAAAAGAAAAACTAGAATAAAATATACTATAATAAAAATATATCTATTTATGTAATACCATAAAATCTATTTAGTAAAAATTAATCCTAATAATATATGTTTAAAAAAAATAATGGCAAACATTTAAATATTATATAATATATTAAGTATTTAGCTAATTGCTGCATTTGCAGTCTCAACATCCAAGTCTATGTCCTTTATGTTCCTAAGTATTCTTCTTGTGGTTTTTGAGCCCCTAAGGCATAGGTTGAAGATCAACATTGGCAAGGAAGTCTACTGAAAGCAAGATGRCAGGATGATCAATTAAGTCATGAAGGTTGCTTTGCATGGCTTAACAAGTGGGTAAGCGCTCCTACCCATTGTGTTGCAGGCATTATGGAATTGTACGAACAGCTAACCCCAACGAGTGTCTACACCGCCTACAAGACGGGAACAACAGACAAGAATAATGTCACATGCAGAATGTGCGGCGAGGGTTCCGAATGTCTGGCTCATGTACTGGCTGGATGTCCGTCTCTTGCACAGTCCAAGTACCTGGATAGACACAACGCTGCTTTGAAAGTGTTTTTCTTTGAGATGGTAAGAGATCTCAAACTGGCTGATAGTACACCCCCATGGTTTTCTGATGTCAAACCCAAACCACTCTACAAATCAACTGACGCTGAAGCATACTGGGATGTACCTGTATATGCTGACCACATGTATGTACGATCTAATCGTGTGGACGCACGTTTCATCGACCACAATAACAAGAAATTACTCATGGTGGAAATGAGCTGTCCGTGGGTTAACAACCGAGAAAAGAAAGACAAAGAGAAGACGAAGAAGTATGGAGCACTTAGGCTTGAGYTCACAAAACAACACCCAGGATACACGATCTTGCAAGTGAACCTCATTTTGGACGCTCTTGGAGGATGGTCTAAAGAGATGGAGCCTGAGATGAAGAATCTTTGGAGCAAGATACAAAGATGTATTACTTAGAATGCAGAAAGCGGTATTAAGCTGCACAGTGAACATTGCAAGAACATT